TGTTTTAGAATTTAAACAACCATAAGAAAACTGGTTCCACCATAAGTATTTAGACCATTACAAATTAACATTAAAAACTAGCAAACAAAAGTAATAAAAGAAAACACTATGCGAGTTTAGGTTTGAATTTAAATTTTATATAAAATAAGAGAAGATACTATGTAGGAGGGTGTATAATTCAAGACTTCATCGACAACAAGGTGATTGCACCACCCCAAAAGCCAAATGTAACTACTAACCCTCTCCCGACCCACAATCAAGTTCCTCCACCTCACAATCTAAACCTAATCCATACACTGACTTTCCCCTACGATCCTAGCATATATATTACCCCTTCCCACCTACCTAGACCGACGTTGTTCATTCTTGAAAGCATAGATTTGTGTATGATGGGCACGTGCACACTTTAACCTGAACCCGTGGTGGTAACAGTGATAAAAGAAGGGAAGCTGGCCTTAGAAGAGAGTACAAGTCTGCTGCCTGAGTGCTCTGAGGATTTGACTGAGGGAGAGTGTAACGCCCCGATACTACACTATTGATTGTAGCCAAGGGAGAGTCACTGTTAACGTGTATACGTCTACTTCTATAGAATACCAATACATAACAACCATAATAATATTAATTTCAAAAGCTTGTTCCATTACATTACATCCCAAAGAAAATTTAAATCTTCATACGAGTCTTACAAAATATCCAAAGAGAAATTTTTAACTTTTCTAAGATAGTCAAAGGTCTTCGAATGTTTCAGGCTCGTTGTCTCCAGCTATATGTTCCTCTTCGGCACCTGGCATAACACGCCGTGAGCTTTGAATGCCCAGTAAACACACACACACCCTAACCCTTTTTCCTGAGTCCAATACACAATCACAAATATAACATCAAGTAGTAGAGCATGATACATAACACAACAAATAAATAAATGGTTACAAGTTAACTGTTAGTAAACTAGAAATCCCCCAAAGAGATTTTGTCTTCCCAACCACAAGAATCGGACTTGGATTATTCGGTATGCTCCCTCTTTTGCTGCTTTGTTGCAGAACTAACCTCGGATGCCTACCATCGGTTATATACCGCGTAGAGCCAATCGTAGGGCCTCAAAAGAGATGGTGAAATAGGGCCTTGCCCAAAACCCTCCTCACACCAAACCACCTAGGGTCCGAATACAACCGCTCCGTTCAAGGGTTCCGAAAACCATTTGCGCAAGAATTTAACTTCCAATTAGGGACGCATCCCAACAACCATATAACACATTTTCTTATCTTTCCATTACTCAAGTGCTCGAAAACCCAATACCCTCCCAATTAGGTTTCCCGTTGAGTTAAATATTTTAAGTCAAGGTTAGTCCAACTTACAAGATAATAATATCCACATAAACATGCATCCTTAAGATGAGAAAGATAAATAACATAACATAACACATAAAATATCTTGCCAAGATATGATCATAACACATTTTCATGAATACCAGGACATAAAACATCCATGCATAACAAATATTTCCAGATTTAATATCACATAAAGATTAAAATGAAAGGCTAGTTTAGATCCTTCACCGGACTTGGTCTTCCTATGATTCGTAGAGAATTTGATCTAGTTTCTAGAACATTTTTTAGAAATGGGTTTGCTTTTCCAGATTTTAAGTTATTTAGAAAACATTCCAGCGCTGTCCAGATTCTGTCCAGACCCGTCGATCGTTACAAAAATTTGATTTTCTTGCAAACCGCTTAATGTTTTTCAATGAAACCAATTTTATTTGAAAGCTAACTCCTTAAGGAAAATTTTGACCTAAAATAGAGGTCAACAATAATTTTATACATTTTTCTGGACTTTTTGAAAGTGGGCTGTAAAACAGTTCCTAGGGTAGATGTCCAAAACAAGAAGATTTATAAGAAAAGGGTTGCACCCAAAGGAAAGTTTTCGTTTCTTTTGTGAGGAAAACATGCTAACCAGCATATATTTAACTCAGAAAGTTTGCTTGAAGGTGCGTCCTTGGAAAGTTGAGAGATTGATATGGAGAAAAAGATGGTTTTGTACTGAGATGGGAAAATACAAAAGAGATAGAATCAATACTCAACTCTTAGCATTTTTAACACAAGTAACTAATAAATAACAGATCTGAAACATTATCTAGAACGCTAAGGCATGTATTTGAAAAAGGAAAAATGAAAGAGAAGGTTGTGTTGTGGCTTACATGCTAAGTTTTGAACAAGATGGCTCTCTTCTCCCTTCTTCTTCCTCTCAAAATTCCTCTCTTGTTCTCTTTCCTCTCCTTAGGTCGAATGTGGAAGTGTGAGAGTGTTGCTTGGTGATATTTATAGGCAACCTTGGTGTAGTTGGTATTGAAAGGTTGTCATTATAGCCTACTAGTTAGGATATAAAGGAACCACCACTTGAAAAATGAAAGAACCCTAGCCCACTAGTTAGGTTATGAATGAACCACTACTTTGAGATTTAAATGAACACTAATTGATATTAAATGAACACTAAACACTAATTGATATTAAATGAACACTAACTAGAATTAAATGAACACTGACTAGAATTAAATGAACACTAGTTAGACTATGAATGGACACCAGTTGGAATATGAATGGCCACTATTAAGGATATTCCTGTTTTGATAAAACAACAAAAACAATATTAATCAACAAGATTTGAAATAATTCTCATAACTGAGAGGCTTTAAGCAAATAATTAAAACCTTTTTTTGTTTTTGTTTTCAAAGAGAAAACATTTTTTAGGGCTTCACAACCTATCCCCCTTAAACAATTTCGTCCCCGAAATTCAACTACATACTGCCTTTAAAAAGCTCGGGGTAGTTTGCCTTCACCCAATCCTGGTGTTCCCAAGTAGATTCCTCAATTCCCCGATGACGCCATAGCACTTTTACCAAGTGAACCGTTTTGCCTCTAAGGTTCTTCTCTCGGCTATCCTGTATTGCTACCGGTCCTTCTTTAAATGTAGCATCTTTGTCAAGACTGATTTCGTCCCATTTGAGGACGTGCGATGAGTCGGCGATGTATTTTCTCAACATAGATACATGGAAGATGTCGTGTATCCCTGCTAACTACGGAGGTAGAGCTAGTCTATATGCTACTTCACCCACTCTTTTCAATACCTCAAAAGGCCCAATATATCGTGGTGACAGTTTTCCTTTTTTCTCGAAACGTACTACTCCACGCCTAGGTTGCACCTTTAGGAAGACGTGATTGCCTACTTCAAATATCAATGGCCTTCTCCTCCTATCTGCATAGTTCTTTTGACGGTCTTGAGCATTCTTTAACCGTTGTCGGATCAATTTTACCTTCTCAGTAGTTTCTAGAACAAGTTCGGGTCCTATCAGATTTGCATCTCCCACTTCTGCCCAACAAATCGGCGATCTACATGGTCGTCTATATAATGCTTCAAAGGGTGCCATACCAATGCTAGCTTGGAAGCTATTGTTATAGGCGAACTCAATTAGGGGTAGGTGTCTTTCCCAACTTCCTTGAAAATCCATTGCACACGCTCTCAACATATCTTCGAGTGTCTGGATGGTGCGTTCAGATTGTCCATCCGTTTGCGGGTGAAAGGCGGTGCTAAAACATAACTCAGTACCAAGAGCTTCCTGCAAGCTTCCCCAGAATCGAGAGGTGAACCGAGGATCACGGTCTGACACAATAGATACTGGAATTTCATGTAGTCGAATGATCTTTCCAATGTAGAGCCTGCACATGGATTGTAAAGTGTCGGTCATCTTATATGGTAAGAAATGTGCTGACTTGGTGAGGCGATCCACTATTACCTATATAGCATTGCGCCCTCTAGGCGACTTAGGCAAACTTGTCACAAAGTCCATTGTCATGTACTCCCACTTCCATTCGGCTATTGGTAGAGGTTGCAACATTCCCCCTGGTTTTTGATGCTCTACCTTCACTTGTTGGCATGTTAGACATTTTGCCACGAATTTAGCCACCTCCTTCTTAACTCCATTCCACCAATACTGCCTATTTAAATCTTGGTACATTTTAGTCCCTCCTGGATGTACTGCAAATGCAGAATGATGACATTCCTTAAGTACCTTTTCTCGAAGTAACTTGTCACCTGGTACAAACAATCACCTTGGTATCTTAAACTCCCATCGGGGTGAATTTCCCAGTTGAGCATGGGTTCTCCTGATTCCAGACGTCCCTTGATATAGGCTACCTCTTAATCGTGCTTCTGGGCCTCCATGATCTCATTCATCAACTTAGGCATCACCTTCTGTGCACTAAGATATGCGTTTGCATCTTGAGATTCTATTTGGATCCTAAACTCATTGAGTGTCTTAACCATATCCCACTCTTTGATGGAGATCCTAGCCATCATTCCTCTGCTCTTACGACTGAGAGCATCTGCTACTACATTGGCTTTACCAGAATGATATGAGAGAGTGAACTGGAAATCCTCAAGATACTCCATCCATCGTCTCTGTCTCAAGTTGAGGTCCTTCTGTGTAAATAGATACTTCAAACTCTTGTGATCTATGAAAATCTCGAATGGTTCCCCATATAGGTAATGTCGCCATTGCTTTAGGGCAAAAACTATGGCTGCTAACTCCAGGTCATGTGTTGGGTAGTTACGCTCATGAGGTTTCAACTGCCTGGATCCATACGAGACTACCTTTCCATTCTGCATGAGCACGCACCCTAACCCTTCTTTAGACGCATCGCAATACACAGTATACCTCACTTCTCGTTCTGGGATGGTCAAAATTGGTGCACTAGTTAACCTTTTCTTTAACTCTTGAAAGGATTTTTCGCAAGCTTCGTCCCACTCATACTTTACTCCTTTTTGCGTCAAACGAGTCATTGGTTTGGCTAGTTTGGAGAAATCTTGGATGAACCTCCGGTAATAACCGGCCAATCCTAAGAAACTGTGAATTTCTGACACAGTTTTTGGTTGTTTCTAGTCTAATATTGCCTCCACCTTGTTTGGATCCACCGCAATCCCATTCTCTGATACTACATGCCCTAAGAATTTTACTTCATTCAACCAGAACTCACATTTGCTTGCCTTGGCATATAACCGATTATCCCTAAGAACTTGAAGGACAGTCCTTAAATGTTGCTCATGCTCTTCTTCAGATCTTGAATATACCAAGATGTCATCAATAAATACAACCACAAACTGATCGAGGTATGGTCTAAAGATCTTATTCATTAGGCTTATGAATACTGCCGGTGCATTGGTTAGTCCGAAGGGCATTACTACGAACTCATAGTGGCCATATCTAGTACGAAAGACAGTTTTTGGTATGTCCTCCTCCTTGACTCGTAGTTGATGGTAACCTGACCTGAGATCGACCTTTGAATAGCACCCTGAGCCTTTAAGTTGGTCAAAAAGGTCATTAATTCTCGGGAGTGGGTATCAGTTTTTAATCGTGACTCGATTAAGTCGACGGTAATCTATGCATAGCCTCAACGACCCATCCTTCTTCTTAACGAACAACACGGGTGCTCCCCATGGCGAAATACTTGGCCTAATGAATCGTCTCTCGAGCAATTCCTGTAGTTGTGTCTTCAATTCTCGTAATTCTGCTGGTGCTATACGATACGGGGCCATGGATATTGGGGTGGTTCCAGGTTGTAGCTCGATACTCAAATCTACTTCCTGGGTTGGTGGCAATCCTGTTAACTCTGTAGGAAATACATCTGCATATTCACATACTATGCGCGGAAGTTCTAATTCTCCTTGGCCTTCCTCATTCAAAATCAGACTTGCTATCCTACCCGCAATTTGGTTGCACCACTGCGTCCTATGTTTTGTTGAAGCAATGGGGTCTTGTCTATCCCCCTTAAACTGGAAACGAGTTCCATCTAGTGTGTGAGCTACCACTTTCCTCTGATGACAGTTGATCACTGCTCGGTGGGCAGACAACCAGTCCATGCCCAAAATAATATCGAAGTCTGACATTTTCATGACACGAAGGTCGCACGTTAAGTGTAGGTTTGACATTCCTATCTTACAGTCCTTACAGATCAATCCTATCCGAATGCGTCCTCCCATAGGTGACATCACATTTAAGGCAGTTTCTAAGGGTTCACATACAAGTCCTAATGACTGAGCGCAAGCAGAGGATATAAAGGAATGTGATGCACCAATATCAAATAAAACATGCACCCAAGAATTATAAAATACTAAATTACCCTCAATAATAGACGGGTCTGCTTCTTCCTCTTGCAAGGCAAAGACTCTGCCGGTTGCCTTCTGGTTGCCACTGGTCTTGGTGTTTTGAGTTCCTCCATTCTTCTGGTGCTGCAGTCCAGTCGATCCTGTCTTGTTCGTCCAAGGCTTCTGCCCACCTAATGCCTGGGCATTTGCTCTGGAACCTCCTCCTTGGTACCTAGATGGAGAGAGTTGGGGCATTCGCTCTTTTTGTGCCCTAATTGTTGGCAATGAAAGCACTGGATTTGTCCCGTCGGCCTTTGTTGATAGCCTCCTCTCTGGATCTGTTACTATTGTGGTTGTGGTTTGGAGTAGGGCTTTGGCGTCATGTTACCTTTTTGGTTCCTTTGAGGTCCAACAGACGTTTGACTCCCTCTCCTCTTGTCCCAAGCCTTTCTAGCGTCTGTTATTTCCCTCTCAGACTCTAACGTCGTATCCAGCACCTTAGCAAATGTGGGCAGTCGTTGCGGAAGAACTCTTCCCCTGATTGTAAGGTCCAACCCCCACTCGAACATCCTTGCCTTCTCTTCATCATTTGCTACAAATCTAGTTGCGTGACGGGCTAGTTCTTCAAATTTTGCAGCATACTGGGTCACGGTCATGTTTCCTTGTTCCAGGTTTTGGAATTCCTTGACTCGCTCTCGACGGACTGTATTTGGAAAATATTTATTTAGGAACAGTTCCCTGAACTGGTTCCATGATAGGCTCGCTACGTCACGAGTGTTCTTGATTAACTCCCACCAGTGGTCAGCCTCATTATCAAGCTCGAATACTGCCAAAGCTATTCTATCAACGGCCTCGGTTATGCCCATGGTGTCTAGCATTTTCTCTATCTGCCGAAGCCAGTTTTCAGCTACCTTTGGATCCGGCACACCAGTGAACTTTGGGGGCCTTTGCTTTCGAAACTCAGAAAAGAGTCGAGTCCTCTCATTTTGTCGATTGTTCCTTACTTGCCCTAATCCCTCCAAAATTTGATGTCCTGGATTATTGGGAATGGCAGCCCCTGTAGGGATGGGTTCGCTTTGGTTTCTGGGGCGGTTTCGTGCATTGTTGCTGGTTCCGATTTTAGAAAATCTTACTATTTAGATTTGAAATGAAAGTTCAGTTTCCTTAGAGTGTACTAAAACAAATAACAGTCAACAACATAGATCAACACATCATTCGTATATTATAATAGGCATCATTCCAAAAGGGCTCCTAATCGGGGTTACATTTAAAGGGCATCTACGCATTACAAAGTTCAGGCTGTCTTATTCTAAGGATCCCATCAGCAGATCTTACAAAAGTCTAGCTTTACTATTTCTCGAACTAGTTCTCGTTTCCTGACCAATCAAAGTCTTCTTCTGGATCTTCCTCAGCGCAGTCAGTGGCTTGGTTCGGAGAGCGGGGGGTGTACGTTGGTGATGGGGGATTGTGTTCAGACGACACCTCTATAGGGTAGGCTGGGGTTACTCCATTCTGTTCTGGTGGTTGCTCTATATTCCTTGGTTGATTGTTGCTTGGCCCCTGATAACAAGATGCGTAGCTTTCAGCCTGAGTCGGTGGTCGGTGGCCGGTGGCATGCTATGGTGGTCAAAGTTCGGTGTATCAAGGAGTCTATCCTCTGATCATCTTGCTCCATTTGGACCGCCTTCTTCGCTGCCCGGCTCAAAAATTGTAGGCGGCGCCGCACCAGAGACCTCTTCTGCTCCCACGTATAGCGGGAGTACTCCGTTTCCACCTTACGTATCTCCATTCTAATCATTTCCTCGGCGGCACTCACACAGCGTCGACAGCTAAAGTTGGGGCTGACAGACATGGCCCTCCTTCCTTGCATACGGAAAGTCCCCATGAGTCGAGACTGATATCGCGTCCTGGATAGTCTCCCGCTGACATCCTATGGTGGAAAAAGATTTTTATTTGTCAGTCTACCTTAAATATAGTAGCGTGATAGATAAAATAAGATAAAGGGGTAAGGGCATCTAGAGTCGCATATTGGGTTGCGTGGGTTAAGGGTTGAACCTAGGCTCTGATACCAAGTTGTAACGCCCCGATATTACACTATTGATTGTAGCCAATGGAGAGTCACTGCTAAGGTGTATACGTCTACTTCTATAGAATACGAATACATAACAACCATAATAATATTAATTTCAAAAGCTTGTTCCATTACATTACATCCCAAAGAAAATTTAAATCTTCATACGAGTCTTACAAAATATCCAAAGAGAAATTTTTAACTTTTCTAAGATAGCCAAAGGTCTTCGAATGTTTCAGGCTCGTTGTCTCCATCTATATGTTCCTCTTCAGCACCTGGCATAACACGCCGTGAGCTTTGAATGCCCAGTAAACACACACACACCCTAACCATTTTTCTCGAGTCCAATACACAATCACAAATATAACATCAAGTAGTAGAGCATGATACATAACACAACAAATAAATAAATGGTTACAAGTTAACTGTTAGTAAACTAGAAATCCCCCAAAGAGATTTTGTCTTCCCAACCACAAGAATCGGACTTGGATTATTCGGTATGCTCCCTCTTTTGCTGCTTTGTTGCAGAACTAACCTCGGATGCCTACCATCGGTTATATACCGCGTAGAGCCAATCGTAGGGCCTCAAAAGAGATGGTGAAATAGGGCCTTGCCCAAAACCCTCCTCACACCAAACCACCTAGGGTCCGAATACAACCGCTCCGTTCAAGGGTTCTGAAAACCACTTGCACAAGACTTTAACTTCCAATTAGGGACACATCCCAACAACCATAAAACACATTTTCTCATCTTTCCATTACTCAAGTGCTCGAAAACCCAATACCCTCCCAATTAGGTTTCCTGTTGAGTTAAAAGTTTTAAGTCAAGGTTAGTCCAACTTACAAGATAATAATATCCACATAAACATACATCCTTAAGATGAGAAAGATAAATAACATAACATAACACATAAAATATCTTGCCAAGATATGATCATAACACATTTTCATGAATACCAGGACATAAAACATCCATTAATAACAAATATTTCCAGATTTAATATCACATAAAGATTAAAATGAAAGGCTAGTTTAGATCCTTCGCCGGACTCGGTCTTCCTATGATTCGTAGAGAATTTGATCTAGTTTCTAGAACATTTTTCGGAAATGGGTTTGCTTTTCCAGATTTTAAGTTATTTAGAAAACATTCCAGTGCTGTCCAGATTCTGTCCAGACCCGTCGATCGTTACGAAAATTTGATTTTGTTGCAAACCGCTTAATGTTTTTCAATGAAACCAATTTTATTTGAAAGCTAACTCCTTAAGGAAAATTTTGACCTTAAATAGAGGTCAAGAATAATTTTATACATTTTTCTAGAATTTTTGAAAGTGGGCTGTAAAACAGTTCCTAGGGTAGATGTCCAAAACAAGAAGATTTATAAGAAAAGGGTTCCACCCAAAGGAAAGTTTTCATTTCTTTTGTGAAGAAAACATGCTAACCAGCATATATTTAACTCAGAAAGTTTGCTTGAAGGTGTGTCCTTAGAAAGTTGAGAGATTGATATGGAGAAAAAGATGGTTTTGTACTGAGATGGGAAAATACAAAAGAGATAGAATCAATACTCAACTCTTAGCATTTTTAACACAAGTAACTAATAAATGATAGATCTGAAACATTATCTAGAACCCTAAGACATGTATTTGAAAAAGGAAAAATGAAAGAGAAGGTTGTGTTGTGGCTTACATGATAAGCTTTGAACAGGATGGCTCTCTTCTCCCTTCCTCTTCCTCTCAAAATTCCTCTCTTGTTCTCTTTCCTCTCCTTAGGTCGAATGTGGAAGTGTGAGAGTGTTGCTTGGTGATATTTATAGGCAACCTTGGTGTAATTGGTATTGAAAGGTTGTCATTATAGCCTACTAGTTAGGATATGAAGGAACCACTATTTGAAAAATGAAAAGACCCTAGCCCACTAGTTAGGTTATGAATGAACCACTACTTTGAGATTTAAATGAACACTAATTGATATTAAATGAACACTAAACACTAGTTGATATTAAATGAACACTAACTAGAATTAAATGAACACTAACTAGAATTAAATGAACACTAGTTAGACTATGAATGGACACTAGTTGGAATATGAATGGCCACTATTAAGGATATTCCTGTTTTGATAAAACAACAAAAACAATATTAATCAACAAGATTCGAAATAATTCTCATAATTGAGAGGCTTTAAGCAAATAATTAAAACCTTTTTTTTTGTTTTTAAAGAGAAAACATTTTTCAGGGCTTCACAACACAGATCAAATAAGGATATATCAAAGGTGTCAGGACTAAACATATTTTACCAAAATGCTTTTATACACCTGAGCTCTAGAAGAATAGTGATATCGATATGTTCAACAGATACGCTCATGTGATAATCTGACAGATCTATTTACTAAAGCATTACTGACTGCAACATTCAAGAAGTTGGTGCATAAGATTGGGATGCATCAACATAAAGACCTATTATGTAGTATTGAGGAGGAGTCATCAATCTTAGTAAAATTTTAAATTGTATTCTTTTTCCTTCGTCTAAGGTGTTTTCCCACTAGGTTATCCTTAGTAAGATTTTAACGAGGCAATCTAAACAAATCACACATAAGAATACAATACTTTTTTTCCTTCACGAAATGTTTTTTCCCACTGAGTTTTCCTTGATAAAGTTTTAATAAGGCATATTCTTAGTATATGGTTATCCAAGAGAGAGTGTTGTGAAATATTTAGATAATTATCAAAAGAGATGCAATTGGAATTCTAATGAGTTTTGGGTCAGTGAAAATAGGAGAAAGTTTTATCATGTGAGAAGTGTGGTATGTCATGTGGTAAACCACATGGTGTAGTGATAAATAATGAAAGTTTTATCACCTATAAATAAATGAGTTTGTATGATAATAAAGATATAAAAAAATTATATATATATGTGCGGTCTTTTATTTCTTCTTCTATTATGGCTCTTGGGTCTTTTCCCAAACTAAGCCCCTATACTAAACTATTTCCCAAACTAAGTCTAGTTTGGCCGAATTTTCCAAACTAAGCTGAAGCGTATTTACAAAACACGCTTTCAGCATGTTTCTGGCCCAGGCGGACAAAATTAACCAAATCATGAAAGCGTGGTTAGAAAACACGACTTTAATTAAGAGACTGTTGTTGCTATTAGCATTTTCAAGCTTAAATAATAGCGCGATTTAGAAACACTCT